AGGTAGACAATGGAGGGATTACGAACTCTGGCAGTATTGCAGCAAACCGGTCCCTGTCCCAAGTTCAGAGGGAGCCCCCACCCCCCAGGAGCCTGCTGTCTCATTCCCATGCAGCATCTTTTTGTTACTTTGCTGTCACATCAGTCACTGACATTAAAGATCACCATTAGCATAATCTCTCTCCCCATTACTGTAAGACGTGAATGGTAACCGAGAATGAGACAAGTGTTCTAGAGACAGGAGCGACTCCTTCGGTCTCTGAGGCCTCTCCTGCTATCATTTGAGCTCACTTATGCTGCTTCTATTTTAAGGCTAGGGTAGGTATCTAATCTTTCCTGTTCAAGCAACTCCCTTCTGTCTGACTTTAGTGCTTCTGTGCAACTGTATGAGCATTTGTGTTCCTTCATCGCTCCAGGTTACGTGTGCAAACTGTGTCGTTTCAGTGCCGCAGTAAAAGATTTGCTAAAGGAAAAACAGAGTGATCTGTTGTGCCTGTCCCTGCCCAGGCAGAAGGAGCTCAGAGGTCCTGCCCATCTGCCTGCCACGGCTTGAATACTTTGACAATTCAGGAAGACCATCAGCATCATAAATTTTCAATCCTTGGGAGTTGTTACAATTACTTCTGCTGTCAGCCAGTCAGTTAGTGGAGTGATATTGGGAAAGCAGTGTGGATTTATATGAGCTGGGGCTCCGGCTGACCGGTACGCAGGCAGCAGCCTGGCTGCGTTCCCCTCTGACAGAGAGCTGATCTGCTGGTCAGACTCCCCAGCAGGGCTCTCAAAACTGGGACACGTCGTTTGAGTGCTTACACAGATGGCGATGGCCGAAGGGGAAGGCCGTATTTTCAGGTAGCCAAGTCAATACACAATTAAGCACATTTCTGTCAGTTAATGAATAACACTTGTAGCTTTGTAACAGACTTCATGACTCCCATGGAAGTCTTTTTCCCGTATCTGGCTCTTTAAAAGCAGCTTGTCAAATTTCCAGCTGCATGTTAATTATTCTAAGGTCATTCCAGTTGAGATTTTTTTAAAAACAATTTCCAAAGATAATTTTTTGAAAATAAAGTCTTTTTTTTATTTGTACAGGTATGCACTGGATTTTCCTTTAGCAAAGCAAGTTGTACTGAATGCTGTGCTTCTGCAATAGCAGAACCTAGTTTTACTGAGTTAGAAAGCACTTAATTTTTTTAATTGCTTTATGTGATTCTTCTGCTGCTGATTTTTAGCTTCATCTGAATGAACAGTATGGCTGTGGGGTCTTGGCTTCATGCAGCAGCTCTTCTCAGATTGAACCCTGGCTTGACATCTGATGGGTCCCAAAAGGCAGTAGTGCTCACTGCCCCCGCTCATGCCAGCGAGTTGTCCTCGCCTTGATGAGGGGTGACCACTTTGTGCCAAGACGGCAGTGGCCTACGCCTGTCACTGCTGCAGAGCCTGCAGCCTGGCAGGAGGCAGGCAGCGCTAACAGCTTCTGCGTGGCTTCCAGCAGCTCCAGAGCGCCCACATTTATTGTAGACTGAAGAGCTCATGTGTAAACCCAAAATCCCACCAGTGCAGTTTCTCCTGCCTGTGTTTAGCCCTGCGCTGTTAGTGTGAGGAAGATGCCAGATGCATTTGCCATTCACTCACTCTAACCTGCATTCCCCATGTGAAATGCCAGACTCTGCTAACAACCCATTCTCTGAACCTGCCAGTGACCTGCCTGCCCAGTGGAACGCAGCATCGCTCCTAGCGCAGTGTGGAGAAGACTGAAGAGGCGGTGTCGGCAAGCGGGGTTATCTGATACGGGTTTGCAGCTAGTCTAATGCAAGGAGAGGGGCATAATTGGGTTGTGGGGAAACCCTAGCCAGGGCAAAGCCCTACTAGGTAACATGCCACATGTGTTTTCTCCTCCTGTGTCTGTCCTTGCGTGCTGTAGTACCAGCAGGACCTAGTGGTGCTGCAGGACAAGCTTCGCATCTCCAACAAGAAGCTGGAGGAGTATGAGACTCGCTTCAAGTGCCAGGAGGAGACAACGCAGAAGCTGATGTTGGAGTACCAGGCCAGGCTGGAGGAGAGCGAGGAGCGGCTCCGGAGACAACAGGAGGATAAGGAGATCCAGATGAAGGGCATCATCAGCAGGTACAGAGGAGGTGGGAGTGCTGGAGATGACAGTAAGGCAGGCAGCCTCGTTGGTGTTAGAGCTGACCCCTGCTCAGGAGAATTGGGTTTCTTTGGAGGTGCAGGCAGGTTTCCCATGTGGGTTTTCCAGCATTTATTCACTTTCTGTCCTTCTGGGTTACAGCCCATGGGGGGGGATTTCAAGCCCTGACTCTTTGGGTCCCCACATCAGTGTTACCCAGGACAAGGAAAACCCCAACATTTTCCTGATTGACAAAGGCAACACTTCAGGAGGATCTGGCAGGCTTGCTCTTCTGTTCATATGAGCAATAGATGTAACGATCAAAATGTTCATTTCCTGATGTTTAGCTAAAGATCTCATCACCATCCCATTAGTCCTAGCTATAAATCCCTTTCTCCCACCCAGTGAGATGCGGTGTTTACATTTGTCCGGGACGTAGGCTGTTCCAGTGCAGCTAGCTTCACCTTTACCTGAGCCAAGCCAACTTGGTGCTTTTAATCAGCCCTTATAAATGGGCCAGCCTTCACTGTTCCGTATCACTTAAGCTTTGGGACAGCCTGCTGTAGAGGTCTCTAGAGAAGAGTAAGAGCCAGAAAAAAGACTGGTTCTAGACTATTGGTTTGTGTGTAAGAAGAGGTAGTGCCAATGACTGTGTTTCCTTTGTGCTCGAATGCACAACTGCGGGTCCTGGGAGCACCTCAGTGTGTGCCTCAGCATTGCATTTCCAGATGAGACGGTTTGACCTGGTATGGATGATGGGGGCTGCTATGTGAGACCAGTTCCGTCTGTAGACTAGCTTCGCTGGTATTTCAGATCTCTTCCTATGTGCTTCAGAGATGTACATCACCCCTTTGCTTCCTTGGTGTCAAGGACTAAATGAGGACATGATGTGTATCATTCACTCTGGGTGGCTGATTAGACGTGTATGAGACTAATATCTGGGCTTAGCAGAGCCCAACAAACGTAATTTTTTCCTTGTCTGTTCGGCTGCCAGACTGATGTCAGTTGAGGAGGAGTTAAAGAAGGACCATGCAGAAATGCAGGCTGCTGTGGATTCCAAGCAGAAGATTATCGATGCACAGGTGAGTGCCCGATACCAAGGGCTGCAGCACTTTCCAGGGTGAGTCTGCCAACGTGCAGCCTCCCTGCCATGCAGCAGCGCCAGCTCAAGCAGGGCGAGACTGTGTGCGTGGGTGAGTCAGCACCAAGCTGCAGTCAGTGACAGAGCCGGTCCGACTTCAGCTTTTGGATGCAATTTATTGTCACAGCATTCGCATTCGTACAGCTGTTTCCAGCCTTGGAGTTTGGCAGGCAACACAGAGGGTGTGGGGGGTGGCAGTCTGTGGAAGGATCGTGCCCACAGTTCAGTCAGTTTGTGGAAGGATCATATCCTCATTGGCTCAGTCTGAGGTCCCCGGAGCTTTGCTTAGTGCTTCATGTTCCAGTAATACTTGCGGGACCTGAATACAAGGAACACAAAGCTTGGCCAGAGCAAAGCCAACATGTTTTTTCAGCCTTTGGGGTGTGGCTTGCAGGATTGGGAAGCTCAGTTATTGCTATAGATTACAATGGCAGGGGAGCATCAGATGATGGGTGCAAAACACTGTGCTTGGAAAAGAGAATCTGAAAATATGGTCCATAATCTTTTAATTTGTCTAGGCAGAGACCAGCATTGCAGCAGCTAGGCCTTCCTACAGGTTGTGGCTAGGTGATAGTATATTCTAGGCTTACTCTTAACAATCCTATTAATCGCTTGTAAGTCACTACTCATGACTAATTTACTGTATAGCTAATTAAAAAGGAGATGAGACGGTAGTAACTTTGTAAAAGGAATCACTGTTTTTCTGTAGAGCAATTTGTTCAAAGCTAGTAAATCATCACGTTCCCTTCTGCGCTCCAGCAAAGCCTAGGAAATACAGGGGCATCCGTAAGGTGCGAGCGGTGCAGACTGCAGCCTGCCAGCAGCTCTCGACAGGCTGTCCGGTCTCCTGCCATCTTGTGTGTTACGTGTGAGGCTTCTGCCATGAGCCAGTCCACGCTGTTCTCTTTTTGTCATCTCAGGCTGTACAATAGTGTTGGACACATTCGCACACGGATCTTCAAAGTTACACACAGGCAAACTACCGTGCGCCTCTGAGTTGGTTCTGTTCCCTCCCGCTAACGGCAGACAGAGGAGGAGGATGACTTGTTCAGTGTCGCAAAGAGCAGGAGTGGCAGAAGCAGGCTGCAACACGGAAGCTCTTGCTTCCGTCCTTACGATACTGTAATCAGTGAGAATTGCCATCAAAGCCATCCTGGGAGGCCACAAGTCATTTAAACTATTAATTTACACTAACAAAATCAATTAAACACTGACAGGAATAACTACCTTGGGAGAGCACTAGGTTTTAGAAGAGGAATCTTACTGTCTTTGTAACAGCTGCAGTTAGAGCAAACAGTACAGTGAATTTCTGTAGAACCGAAGAATTAGAGAAACTGTATTATCTCCATTTTGTTCAGGATGCTAAAATGAATTTAGCACACATTCCACAGGCAAAGTACATTTGTGGCCCTGCTAAAAAAATGCTGCATAGCGCTTAAAAAACCCACACCTAAGAATGCCAAAGAGAAAGGTCCTGGTCCAAGAGGCCTCTGGGTCGCTGTCTCAGGACAAGCCCTGGCATCGCAGAGGGACAGGTCTCCATGCGTTTCCACTGACTGTTCCCCTCTGCCCATTTGTTTGCAGGAGAAACGCATTGCTTCATTGGATGCTGCCAACGCACGGTTAATGAGTGCCCTTACTCAGCTGAAAGAGAGGTACAGCATGCAGACACGTAATGGGATCTCCCCCACAAACCCAACTAAATTGCAGATTACAGAGAATGGAGAATTCAGAAACAGCAGTAATTGTTAACCCGTGGAGGGCGCTGCCGCAGGAGAGGAGGCCTGGCCAGAGGGACCGTGCAGCAGCAGGTGTGAGCCGCGGCTTCAAAGAACGGCTGCTCTCTCCCCCCAGAGAAACCAGCTCCTTACTGCGGACGGCGCGCTTGACTGAGCCTTTGTGGGAGATGCTAATGCCAGCACATTGAGGGGACGGAAAGATCGAGTGTGAGATGAGTGGCATAAGGAAATAACATATATTTGAGAATCGCTGTCACTGTTGGATTTAAATCAGTGTTTAATGTTTAAACAAAAGTAACCTTTTCCTTCTAAACTGCCCAAAGGATATGCCTCACCCCTCCCAGCAAGGAATAACATCCTTGTCATTGCAGTAAGCGAAATAAAGGGAGCTGGGCAGAGCCTGCAGCAGGCAGTGGCCCAGTAGGTCCAGTTAAAGTGTGCTGCTGGATGTAGCCGTGCGAGGGATGGCAGCAAAGCTTGGCCCGCTCCTCCTGTGACTCCCCCTGGAGCACAGCCCTCTCCCAAAGCAAACCCCGAGCCGACCCCAGCCGTCTTTCCTTATGTGGCTTTTGTGAGGCCACTGATTTCTACAGCGGGTGACTGTCCACAGGGCATCTACGCAGCTAATTAGTGTTTAATTAACTCTGCCCATATAGGGAGCACAGCCCAGATGAAGGGTCAGGGCGCGCTCTGCGCGATGCGGTAGCCGAAGGGGTGCTGCGTGGGGAACCACGGTGGCAGGGCGGTGGAGCAGGGCATGACTGGTACTGCTGGGGCTCCTGGGGGGTCCCTGGGCAGCCCAGGGGAGCAGAGCAAGCCCAAGGCTCTGGCACGGGAGTGGAGGGAGGACCCGGCACCCGGTGAATGGCGCCTTGTTTCCTCTCTACAGCTTCTGCTCTCTCACAAATAATGGGGAAAAGTCTTTGTAAGCAATAGCCCCAGGGCACTGTGTCCCCCACACACACACTTCTAGCCACAGAATAAAGTAAATGTTGCCTGAGGTTGGTCCCCGAGCTGTGAATGAGGTGCAGGGGCTGGATTTCCTGGTGCCCATTGTGGTAGAGGGGGAGTGAGGGGCTACGTGAAATGGCCAGCTTCTTGCTTGACAAAGGGTTCGTTATGGGGATGTAATGCTCTGTGCAGAGATTTTTACTATTTCTGGGGAGAAAAACAGACAAAGAAACAAGAAAAAGCCCTGAAGAACCATGAAGATCGGTAATTGTATTTCTTTTCTTTCACAGTATGCATTAGAAAAAAAAAGATCCCATTTTCTGGAATACTGTCCTCTTTAAATTGGGAATGAGCACTGCATGGAAATTAACCGGCTCGAAGAATGTAAAACATGGTCATAAGGGAGTAACCAACAAGAACAGCAGCCACCACCGAAAGCCCCCTTGTCAGGAGCACTGTGCAGGCATAAGCCAGGATTAGACTTTCCTAACTGCTGAAACACGCAGATTCGGCACATTCAGACACGTTGTGCTCAGCGGAGGGGTCACCTCCTTAACGGGGGATTGTGCCGCTGACCTGCCGCCACGGTGTGTTTGTTGGTTTGTGTTTTTTTTTTTTTAAGTTAGTACTTCATGACTCCCACTTTCAGAGCAGGTTACTCGTACCACGAGCCAGAGAGATTTCTCTGTTACGGATGACAGTGTACAGTGTACAGGACATCTGCCTATTCTTCCCACTAAAGTTTAATACACTGGTCAACGCCTGTCCTAGCTCCTCCTGCCATGTGTAACTGTACAGTCAAAGGGACTAGGATGTTCACTGAGCTCTGCACAGCTTAGGTACCGCCTCCAGCCTCACACTGCCTAGGCTGCCTGAGCAGGACACTGTTTGCCAGTAAGCTCTGCATTGCCATGCTGCCCCACAGCCATAAGGCTCATTAACAGCATTCTTCCACATGCAATTGTTTTCAAAATTAAAGATGCTTTTTTTTCCTAAACGTTTTTCTGTTCCCTGGAAGCCCTGGGCCAAGCCCGGTGCGGCTTGGTCCTTGGAGGAGCGAACGTGTTGCGCTGAGGTCTCCACACCCCGCCAACGCCTGCAGAGTGGTGCAATCGCACAGCAGACCCCAAACGGAGCTCCTCAGAGAAAAGTAATAACTAAGTATTTATGACAAATACAGTCACCTTTGAATTTTGGAGACTAGCACAGATGGCTTTGAAGAACCTCACAAAACTGACAAGGTTACAACTGGAGAAAGACCCAGACAGGTTAGGAATATACAGGGTACTGTGAACCGTTGGGTACGTACACTTAACATCTGCCATTGTCTCACAGTCAAACACATTATAAGAACCCTGCAAAAAAAGACTATTTTAAACTGCTGTTGCCCTGAGATGTATGTTTAAAGCTGATTGTTTTTGAGTTCCAAAATATTTGTGTTGCGAGAGACGGAAGTTTTTCAAGAGAAAAGTAACATAGAGGAATGGAAACGCTAACAGGGCATGGGGGCGGGCGCCTCACCGGCAACGTTTCCATTCATACGCAGAAGTAATCTGGGGATGCAGTCAGTGCTCTCCGTAAGAGCTGGAAAAAAAGAAATGCCCACAAAACGATTGTTTAGTACTGGAGCTAAGCACAGTACATCTTAATCTTCTCCTCAACCACAAGCCAAGGCACTGCTCCCCCCCGCCCCGATCTGTCAATCTCCTGGTTAACCGCAAACTTGCAAATTACCGAACACACATTGTTCTGCTGAAATAGCAGGAACGCTTAAATCCTTTCACAGCGAGTTATTAAAATCTTAAAAGTTCCAGTGCCAACACTTTCTGGAGTTGTTGCTTAGTTTCCTGAGCTAGCATGAAAAGAAATTCAAATCAGGACAAAGTCTCGTTACAGCAGAGATTCCCCTTCCTCTTCTTCCCTGTCTCCTTCCCCTGCAACTGTCAACAACTGGACCTAAATGTGACCTTCCCCTACAAAGGTTTGGGGGTAGGTTTTAAGATCCAGGCTCAGTTCAGTTCTGTTACTTCAGTTTGTGTTTCTGTTATTTATAAACTGTACATTTATATGTGTGTGCGCGTGTGTGTGCATGCGTGTCTGTGCGCATGCGTGCGTGAGCGAGCGCGAGGGAGCCAGCGAGCGCGTGCGAGCGCGCGCGAGCCCCGCGTGGCCAGGTTACCCGATGTGGCCTCGGACCTGGTATCTGGCGTAGCAATACCAGAGGCAATCCCAAGAGGTGCTTGCAGCACCAGAGCAAAGCAACCACTATCCGTAATGTTCTGTGATCTGCTCCATTTTCTTTTTCGTTCTTGCTCTTTCTACAGCAAGAGGCTGTTCTAGTGCAAACTCGTCAAAGTGTAAACAAAACACAAAAAACACACTCAGATTTTTATCTTACTACAAGTCTTAATATTTTTTTGTAAATGTTTTCAGTGTTTACTGTAATGTATCTATCTCACTAACAAATGGTTGTATATAGTAACTTACTTCTGGTGCTGCTTATTCGGTCAGGATTTGGCTGTATCTCACTGCTGTTTTGGAGAGGTGGACTCAAACTAGCAAATCTGGATCCAGACGCAGGTTATGATTTCAGCCTCCTCCCTTTGGGGATCTGAGGGAAGGGGAAGGGAGGGAAGCCAGGGATCCAGATTTGGGATTGGTCCACCTCGAGGATTCTGTTCTAAGAGTTTTGATTTGGGGTTTTGTTAAACTGTAGTGAACACGTCTGAAAAAAATGAGCAAACTTTTGTGTAAAGGGGAATGAAATGGACTGAACAGTATCCCAAGGTCTCTGTGGACTGTAAGTATCATCGTTTTGGACAGGGATTATGGCTTCAGTGCCAAAAGTTTGGAGGGACCAAAGTCCTTCGCCCTGCGAACTAATACTACAGTGTAGTCACCAGCCCCTTTTGCACCAGTTTAAGCAAATCCTGCTGCCATCCAAAGAGTCCTGTGTCACTCTGCATTGTCATTTGAGTCTGGTTGGTTTTGTTTTCTGCTTTTGCAGTTGTAAAGCACTGATTGCACTGTGAGAACACGCTGAATCCTCTGGCCTGGCAGCTAGCCCCGTAGGTTGCTGCAGGGTGCAGGACACAGGTTCTGCTACTACAAATATTCCTAAAGGGAGAAGGGACTTGGTGGACCTGAGAGAGGCATCACAGGCTCTCCAAGGAAAGCAATCAGCAAGTAATCAATTATTTCCAAAGTATAGAGCGCTCATAGGCTTTTCCCTGTTACTAGTGTCCATACCCAGATGCAACAGAAAACATACTGAAGTCTGTTCTGTGATGAACGAGGAGAGGATTTTTAGTCACAGATGGAAAATGCACTGATGCATTCGGCCAGGACAGCCACACGGTGTGGCTCATAGATTTGATCTGCAAGGGGCTCATTTCCCCCAGCGATCCCAGGGCAGGGGTAGAGCCCCTGGGAGACGCCTTTCTGACAGCAGCACCTATGACCAGCGGTGTCCAGCAGCTCCACCAAGGTCACTGCCCTGGCCGTAACACGTAGCTTTGCCTGGAGAGCGTGAAGCAGAAAAATCCAAAGGGAACAACTGCGACACTGCCCCTGGGGTAGGCGGGAGGGCTCCTGAGCAGCACGCCGTCCTTCCCACCTGCAATGACTGTAGGGGGTCAACCTCTTCCCCAAAGGTTTGCGTTCAGAGCAATCCAGGCCACCAGGAGAGCCCTTAACTGGCCCCAGGAAGGGGCACTGCCCATCTCCAAGTAGGTCTCTGACTCTTCAGGGCCACTTCAGAGGAGACTGCTTAGCCACAAGGCTTGGACGTGTGGCACCTGCCCTGCTCTGAGAACCGCCAAGCCCCGCTCTAACCCTGCGCAGATAAAACTCTTGCCTTTTTCTTTTCCCTTGGGGGAAATTACACGTGGGGTGAGAGGGAGGACGACAGCAGCATGCTAACATGCAGCTCATGGGCTTTACAAACCAAATCCAATCTTGAGGGCGTTGCACGACATTCAGAAACAACCATGCTTTGAAAAAGGGTGTCACGTTCAAGCATTGACTTTCACAGATCCCCTGAGCTGTGACATTGCTGTAAATGCCATGTGGTTCTGCATCAGCTACCAGTACCCCAGAGTGTAGTCTCCATGTTCACGTACTCCTTTATCATACATCACTGTGTCTTAAGATATACCTCTCTCTGTATATCTGCTTAGGCTGATACTTGTTCCTGATAAGCAGTCGCTATGTTTTATATCCTCTTATAAAGAAAAATCTTTTTTTGTAAGTATGTTTAAAAACAAAGCAAAGTGGAAGTGTTCGCTGAATCTCCTTCAGCTCCTTTTAAACTATGTAATAATGTACAGAGAAAGTTGTTGGTGTTCAAAGAAATGATGTGGCCGTGCAATTTATGTACATTTGCAATTAGAAATATTAAAGATTTATTTAGATATTTTATGTAAGTGCTCCAGCACTTCTACTCAGTCATTTACAGTTTCTAGAGCATCCTGGCACATGCTGGCCACATGCACACACGAATATTTGTCCTCTCTCTCCAGACAGATCATCTGAAATGCTACTCGCAGTAGCTTTTCAGCCATGGCCTGGCTGACCACCACCTTCCTGGCTAGCACCCATCACTCAGCTTTGGGGGAGGGCTGGGCACTAGGGGAGACTAAGGGGACAAGCAGCTCCAAGGGCCCGCAGCCCCCAAGACTTGGCCAGGAGCCACATCCCTGATTTGGGCATGTTTGCAGCCGTGGTAGAGGCCAGAAGAAGACGCTGTGGGAGGTAGCAGCAAATGCTCGCAGCTACTCTGCCATCTCTTGACACCAGCCAGTGTGCTGAGGGCCAGAGCCCGGCTTTGGCTGGGGCTGAAGATGCACAATAGGCTGGACACGTGCTCTCGTGGCCTAAGGCAGCTCCGGAGTGAGGGCAGACGCAGCAGAAGCCTGGTTGGGCTCACTCAGCACAGGGAAAAACATCCCCCTTGTCCCTCTGCTGACAGGGAGGGCAGGCTGCCTGAATTCTGGCACCAGACTGTCCCTGCCATCCCAGGAAAACCCTTCTCCAGCACATCCCT